TGAAATGCTCAAAATGGCCAAAAACGTGCTCTAATTTAGTCAAAAAGTGATTTTGAGCATTTTAAAAATTTGACGCACGCGTGCGCGCGCCTTATGAAGCGCACGCGTAAAATTCAACATTAACCCAAAGTTAATGCTCACTTAATACGATTTCGAAATGGCAATTGGTTAGGCTGATATGATCGATAAAGTAAAAACGCAAAATTGCGCGTAGATGACGTCACGCATGACTGAGCGCGTTTAAAAGCTTACCATGACTATTCCAGACCAAGCTAAATGTTCGCCGACAGCGATTGTGGGTAAACTCGTGGTATTTTTTGAGATATCGTGCGAACAGAAAAGGGGGAGAAAGAAAGAAGAACTAGATTTGAACTCGTCACTGAGGACGAGGAAAGCCTGGTTTCCTGTCGACGTAAAAGTCAGAATTTCTTGCGTTTCATACGTTTCTTACGATTCTTACGACTGTTACGAGAAGTTGGGCAAAATCAGCCGCGTCTTGATCGTGTTGGGCCGCAGACAAAATAAGCCGGTAACGATTCTTACGCCTAGTTGACTTTTCAAACCTCAAGCTGAAATTCCTGCACTAACGTTGTTACAGGCTCCTAGCGTCAAGTTGAAAATTGTCTTTGCGATTGCGTTGTGATGCCTGTTTTGCTCATTAAAAATTAACCCGCGAAATTCGCATTTTCTGCGGCTTCCTGGTTCTGTTTCCAAGAGCAGTGGTGTGCAACAATGGTGATCAGCAGGATGCGTATCCTTCTTGCAAAGAAGCTTCTTTGTTTTCGCTTGTTAAAAAGAAGAAGACAAACAAACCAGAAGAAAAGAACGCATAGATTCCAGACAAGAAGAGTGCTGCAAGAAAGAGTACACCTTGGGCAGTTTCACACTTTGTTCAAGACATTGATGAACCATGACAGAGAATGGTTTTTCAGGTACACGTAGGCCCCTTATTTTTCTTTACTACTATTAGTACTAGCTACTGTATTAGGCCTAGCCTACTAGGCCTAGTATTACCCTGTCATAGGCCTACCTACTTATTATATTAATAAATAAGGAGGTTAGCTAGGCTAGGCCTATAATGGTCTGGGCCAGGGCCTAGGCCTGTAAGCAGGAATTCTAGTAGCTTGTGCCGGCCAAGCATTATTTAGCCTATAGGCCTACATATATATAGATAGGCCTAGGGTAGGCCTAGAAAAGAGATCCTTTCGGTCGTGCTCCATTTTAGAACTGGTATAAATAGAGGTCTACATCTAATTATAATTCAGTCATTAATTGGCTTGTGGGTGGGTGGGGTTAAGGAGGGTGTAGGCCCTATATGTAGTTTTAGGCTAGTCCACCACAGACTCAAATATTTAACACACACGTCACTAGTTTAGAGTATAAAAGTGATTATTTAATCAATAAACATTTATTCGTAATTGTCCAAATTCAGTTAAAATCAATGTATTTTGTGGTATTGCATGCTGTGTTTCATGAAGAAGCTATTTTGCTATTTCTATTTTCTGCTGTTGTGTGATAATTTTTTTAAGTAATTTCTGCATCTGTGTGGTTGCACATCACTCTATGTGGTTTTAGTAAGGACTGTAGGAAAGGCCTAGGCCAAATTCTGCTGCCAGCTTGTTTATAGGGTCCAGATCTGTCAGTTTTGTGCATTTTTTTTTAATTTTAAGGCTGTCTATTTTAAAGTTCATTAAGTTGAGAACACACAAAAAAATGTAGTCATTGTGTCAGTATTTTTTTTGAAAAAAATAATTTATTGGCTACATAAACATCATCTACTCACTATAAAGGTCTCAAACCTGTTAAACAAATTGTCGTCACACAAGAATAAAAGCTACTTAAACATAGGAAAATAGTTACTGTCATTGACACGGTTTCCTCCCCAACCCCCTTTATGTATTTTAATGATGATCACCTAAATTATTTACGTGGAACATAGCATAAATGTTTTACAGTGCTGTACAGCATGTTGCTCAGTAACAGACTAGAATGAAAAAAAAACAAAGAAAAATATGAGGAAACAGCACCATATAGATTGCATTTTTAACTCTACATGTTTTAGCACCAAACACAAGATTGTTAGTAGCATTATTAAATTGGGGGGGAAAAAACAAAAGGATAACATGCAACTTTAAAACAAAAGGATAACATGCAACTTTAAAAATACTTTTTTCTTTTTCAGTTTATCGTCCGATGGAATAAATTAAAACAAAAGTTAAAATTTGAATTGCCCAATAGTAATCATAAAAGTTATTTAATGGTGCTAAGTTTTTTTTTTTCAATGTCGTTCATTACTATAATGATTATAATTGATTTATATTTTTCTATGTTTTATTGGTTCCATCGGACAATAAATCATAACAAATCTCAAACTGACTTCAATCAATCATAATATTTCAATATTATGTTGCAGTGTACTTAGGGCTACAAAACATCTATTGTTTCTTGTTGTAATCATTAAATAACATTAGTATTTTCAGTTCCATGTCACCTCTGTCCTCTTCTTTCAATTTCCGCATTTTATTTGCAATCACTCGGGCAAAAGTCAATTCTTCATCATCAACAGCAATCGGGCTCTTTATAAATTCAATTAGTTCTTTGTCAATTTCTTCATTCTGTGAGATAGGAGTCATTATCATTATAAAACATGAAACACAACCTATTACTAATTTTACTAATCTTTGTCGCAAAATAGTAAAATTTATGTTTATTGATAATTTTTATCATACAGTAACATACAGGTACAACCAAGTTCAAAGATGTATTTTTCTTTCCCAGTGAATAATATGAACGGTATATGAAAATAATAAATTTGTTTAAAGCCCTTAGTAATTTTTTACAGCATTTAAAATCTAATACATTTATTATGTTAATTAAATTCAAGATATATAGTATACTGTATATAATTCTTACATTTGCCTTTTCTGGGACATTCTTCTTTGCTTTTTTTGTCCACGCCTTCCTAATAGCTGCTGAAATAAAAAAAATTATACTATAACAAGCTGTAGTGACATAGGTATTTTATTTCTATGTATTTTATGCACTAAATGATGTTCAGGGTTTGAGCAAGCCAAATTATTAAATTGGGTAATTGATTATGTAAAACATGCTTTGAACAGTTATACAGCCCAAAATCTTTAACGATTTTGCTAACCTGAATAAAATCATTTAGCAAAATTCAGCTGTTAAGAATATTAGTGCCCAGTGTTTTTAAGCTGTTGTTATCCAAATAGCCAAATCCTAATAAAAGCTAAATCAATTGAAATACATTTTAACAATTCTTATTCTTTTGTTTCCATTTGGCTAATCATACTGGATTAGCCAAATTGCTAAATATTGTTTTTAGCCAGCCTAAAACCCTGCGTCACAGTTCCTATTTGGTCACTGATGGTATATCACCTATCAACGATAATGGTCCTGCTAATAGTGATTGTGACAAATTTGTTGCAACCTGTAAATGAAAAATGAAAACTAAATTCTAAACTGGTATATATTTGTGTGGCTGCCTAAAGTAACCCAAGTGTACTGTAGTTTAAAATATACTGAACTTACGATTTTGTTTGTCTGCCATCCTCTTCTTGGATGTTTCTATAATTAAAAAAAATTCCAACAAATAAATTAAGGTTGTAAGAATGTAATACCATAAAAGTAATTAAATAAAATTATACAATTTATTTCACAAAGTCACATTCATATTTACATACAGTATGTTTTATTACAATAGAAAAGGTTTCGCCTATAACAATTAAATGAAAACATGAAGGAATTAAATTTGAAGCAGTGCTTTTAACATGTAACATTTCAAAAAATACTCAATATAATTAATTAAGTTCAAAAAAGTAATATATGCTATAATAACTGATTATACTGCAATACCTTTTAATTGAAAAATTTGAATGATTTTGTAATATAAAAGACATAAAAATAATACAGCTCTTAATTTACTTGCACAATATTTCTGAATTTTATTACTCCCAAAGCACTTTTAATGTAAATTTTGGTAATTTACCTGCGGTATCTTTAATCTGATTCGTTTCTTGGAAATCAGGTGGATTAATGGCCTCCTGGCTATTGTCATTTTCATCATCATTGACTTGACTGCTGCTGGCAACATTGTCGTCATCATCATTTAAGCTCGGATAAGAATCGTTTTTGTCTTCGTCTGTTGGAT